TGAACCACAAAACCTGATGCCAGACAAAACCAGCCGATTCACCTGCAAAGGGAAGCAAATTCATCACTTCCTGTGGATCAGCACTTTCTCTGAATATACGGTCATGCCAGACTCTACCGTTGTTAAAATTGATGCCGCTGTCCCTCTAGATAAAGCTTGTCTCTTTGGCTGTGGATTTTCCACTGGTTATGGGGCTGCGCTCAACACAGCCCAGGTAAGATGCCGTGTACACTTGGTTTGTCTAATGTGCCTTCATGGTCTGTCAGCTGATATTTTCCACTCTGTCCTACAGTGCTGTATTCTGGAATTTATCCTAGTTTCTTTTCTCCCTGGCTCTGTAGGTCATGCCTGGTTCTACCTGTGCCGTCTTTGGTTTGGGAGGAGTCGGCCTTTCTGTAGTCATGGGATGCAAAGCAGCCGGAGCTTCTCGGATCATTGGCGTTGACATTAACAAGGAAAAATTTGTGAAGGCAAAAGAACTGGGAGCCACAGAGTGTCTTAACCCTCAGGATCATGAGAAGCCTATTCAGGAGGTGCTGGTTGAAATGACAGGCCATGGTGTCGATTATGCATTTGAAGCTGTTGGGTGTTTGGATACATTGGTATGTGCGGTATTTAATCAACAGCCTGTGGCTCTATCCTATGGTTTCATAGGGAGATAGCTTTTCATATTTTTTTTCTGGAAAACAGCAAACATAGCTACAGAATTATGGTTTTCCAAATGCTCTGTCTTTTAGGTAGCTCATTCTGTATTCATCAGAGTGCCATGTAACCTTTATACCCAGGGTAGAGAACCTATGTGTTTTGAATGTTAGTTCCCAGCTGCCTTGCTTGGAGCAGCCAATGATAATGAAGGGTTGAGAGAGTTATGGGCAAAAAAGAAAAAAAGATATGTGCTAAAGGTCCCAGATATGCACCCTACATATCTGATAGGGAATCCCTGCAAGTTAGCAAAATGTGCTGGGTTCACGCACAATGAACCCAGGACGCTGATGAGGTCAGTGAACTCTATTAGCTCTTCAAGAGCAGAGACTGCGGTCTAGAAGATCACACTGTAGCTGTATCCTAGAAGACTGTCCTTAGACTGCACATTGCATCAATTGTGGTGGGCACTGAATTGTTTAGGAATGTTCATTGAGCAGTGCTCACCTTCTTATTGAGGTGAGTCAGGGTGTGTGAGTGTGCATACGTGTGCATGCTCTGCATCAGGTAGGCCAAACGTCTCGGGCTGGCCTTAGCACGTTGGGGACGATGCATGCAAGCTGATTTAAAAGTGGAGGTGGCAAAGTGGGGATGTTGAACAATATGGCCTTCTTTGAGGAGGAAGTGAAGACTGTGTAGTCTGGATTGGGACGAGGTGGGCTACAATGGGAGGAGCTGACAGTTGCAGGCAGATAGAACAACCTCTTTA